GGTCGCAAGGACCGGACTCCCGGAGGGGTCAGCTAGGGAGACAGCTACCGGACGAGAGAGCTGCGCAAGGGCAGTGCGGTCGCGAAAGAAACAGCGGGAAGCAGCTGAGTCCAGTGTGAAGGTGTGCAGTGCCTCAGTAGACGCAGTACCAAACGGCGCAGACTCACAAGTACCTGAAGCAGCAGACTCACCAGCACCTAGAGCAGCAGCCTCACCAGGACCTGGAGCAGCAGACGCACTAGCACCTAGAGCGGCAGCCTCACTGGTCTCAATGCACGGGTCGGGCGGGACACACAGGTAACAGTCACCCTCAGCACTAATAGTCAATGCATACATGGCACCAAGGGTAGCATCAAAGTCAAGAGCAAAGATATCAATGTTCTTTTTAAGCGCGGTCACCTGTGCGGATGACATACGGCCAGGTACCTCCACCCCCAGACCCCCCATGCTGAGAGTACCACTCACGAAGCTGCTGGGGCGACGGGGTCTCGCCAAGACGCTGCTGCTGGCGCTAGACACCACCAGACCCTCCACGCTGCGCCGGTCCACCCCGACCACCACCTCCGCCGCTGCCACCACGCCCACTGCCGCCACCACCACCGCCTCCACCACCACTGCCGCCACCACCCCCTCCGCTGCCACTGACCCCCCCAGCCCCGCCACCACCCCCACCACCGCCACCACCCCCACCGCCCCCACCGCCTCCACCTCCACCTCCCCCGCTGTCACTGCCACCACCCTTGCCCCCCTTGCCCCTGCCGCCCTTGCGCCTCCCACTAGGAGCAGGCACAGCCCCGACTTCCTCAGCACCAAGGTAGTCGACAGCGGCAGCAGAGGCGACAGAGCGGAGAAGGGGGGGAGGGGAACACCCCTCAAAGAAAGGCGTGTGGGGGTAGCCTCAGCTGCAAGCAGGTGCTTCTCGAGCAGGTCAACGGTGAGCTCGGTGTGGCAGAGGGCGAGAAAGTGGTCCCTGACTGCGCGAAGAGAGTCAGGGAGACGGGTGACTAGGTGGTAGAGAACGAGGTACATCGGGGGAGGATTCTTGGCGAGAAACTCAGCAGGAAGGGCGGCTCGGTAGCGAGTGTCACTAGTGCGGAGGTGAGTAATGAGGTCAGCGACTGTGGGAAAGGCAGCGAGAGACGGCCGATCGTAGCAGAGGCAAGCGAAGAGTAGCGCGCTACTACAGCATCGTACAGTGCCTTAGCAGTCTTGTGCTGGCCAAAATGCGCGCGCTCATCTAACGGCAGGTGGCTGCGAATGGCTAGGCGAGCGTGAGCGTCACGAGTCTGCCACTGGGAGCGAGCAGTACTGTCAGCAGTCTCAGCAGGCACGGGAGTGGTCCCGGACGCAAGATCATATAGCGAGATATCGTCCTTAGCAGTGATCTGTAGGAACAGGTGCAGGTCGTCGAGCCGAGCATCAAACTGAACCGGACGGCCCTCAGCATCGAAAGAGAGAATGGTGGGACTAGCCATGGTGGCAGCAGTAGCAGTAGCAGCAGTAGCAGTAGCAGCATTAGCAGTAGCAGCAGTAGCAGTAAGAACAGTAGTAGCAGCAACAACAAGAGCAGCAGTTGCTGCAGGTGGGGTAGCACGACTCGCTTAGGGCGGCGCGACTCGGGCAGGACGGCGCGGCGCGGTTCGGGCAGGCAGGGCGGCTCGACGGCGGGCCTGCGCGCGGTGTGCGGCTGCGTCTAGGCTGCGGCTGCGCGCGGGCCGCGACTGCGTGTAGGCGGCGGCTAGGCGCGGGCTGCAGCAGCCGGCGTGCGACAGCCGCGGCGCGCGGGCTGCAACCTGCGTGCAGGCGGCGGCTGTGTGAGGCGGCGGCCTACGTGCAGGCGGCGGCCTACGTGCGGGCGGCGGCCTACGGGCGGGCGGCTGCCTACGTGCGGGCGGCGGCCTACGTGGGGGCGGCGGCCTACGTGCGGGCGGCGGCCTGTGAGTGAGCGGTGGCCTACGAGCGCGAGGCGGCGGCCTATGGGCGGGGCTGCGACGCGCGGGACGGCCAGTAGGGCCGGTCGACGGGCCGCGCGAGGGCGGCGCTGGCTGCACGGGCGGCTAGCGGGGTGCGAGCGGGCGCCTAACGGGCTGCTCGCGGGTGGCTAGCGGACGGCGCGGGCAGTTCGAGGGGCGGGGCGCGTGAGGGCGCACGAGCAGAGAGGGGCGCACGAGGGCGCGAGTAAGGCAGGGCGCACGAGGGCGCTTCTAGCGGAACGGCGGGCCCATAGTAGTAGGCGGTCCTAGGTGGCTAACCTAGGCTCGTAATACCATGTCAGAATCAACAAGAGTGAAATGCAAAGGGGTGGGTACAAGTAGGAAAACCTAAAACTGTTGTACCCCATAGGAACTACCCCAGTACAGCCTAAACAGACTATAGCATATAAGTTTGACAAGCTGATTACTTGACCAAGAAGCTCGGAAAGCAAAAGCTCGAGTACTGCATGCTGCTGACTGGACAAGGCCATGTCACCAGCAACGACACTCCAGAAGCGAAGGGGAGTGTTGGAAACAAGTGATTTAAGCGCTTCTGTTGCGTTGAAACACTGAGTCGTAAACGAAGCAAAGCACAAACGAAGCATCGGCGAGTCAACTATCGGAGGTTGACAAGTGAAGTAACCGCTGGAGGTTACGTGAAGGTCAAAGGTCAGCGACCTTTGACTTGACAAATACAGCGCGACAGCAAGGACAAACAGCTGACTCGATACAGAGCAGTTGCCCGAGTCGTCACTGTATCGAACCGCAATAGCAACAGTAAAACCTCTTCATATTCCTTGTATTCTTATAAAACCTTGTATCTTCTTGTTTAAATCAATCTACTTTGCCCTCACGTACTAGCGCAAGGTGGTTCAATACTTCTCATTAAAACGCTTCCGCAACTACAACATTCCTACCCAGAGTCTAGCCCTGCAAAGATCCTAAGGTCCTTTTCTCAGCCCAACACGAAGATGCAGAGTGACGCGAAGAGTCGCGTTCGGTTATGGAGCATCTAGATCGTCAGGGTAGACAGCATCAGGCAGCAGCAGTGGCAAGGATTCTATCCGGACAGTTTCGTAACCGTCTGGGGTCGTACTGTCGGATTTTATAAGGGAATGTACCCCTTAGAGTACATGGCTAGTTAGGTTGTTTCGTATTCCAGCTGTAATTTGATTTATATGGTTGTATTAGCATGTTATCATCTCAATCATTTTACATTCATTCTGATTTGAGCTCAAGGGCCCACCACTACCACTTAGTTGTGTGCGAACCTTCTCGAGATGATCCTGGTTACGATCAACATCTGATCGCAGCATGGTATGACAGCGACCCGGGAATCCTTCGCACTGCCACCTCCGAAATCTTCGGTGATCGAAAGGTGGCGCTCGCGTGTAAGGATGGCCGGCAGATCTGAAGGTCAGACGAATCTGACCGCTGAAGCGCAGTCCAACCCGGATGCGACAAACGAGGAAACAACGACGATTGGAACCGCCGTCCTCGCACAACTGCTTCAACGACTCGCTAGTTTGGAACAAGAACTCCAAACATTGCGGAATGGCGACGCGAGAACATCTTCCCAACGCTCTCAACCAGCCTTAGATGGTCATAATACCGTCCCACACACTTTCTCCCTCGATACAAATGGCTCAACTCCCAAGGCTCCCCGTCCCAGCGAAGAAGCAATTCTCTCTACGCAATCAAGGTTCATCAACATATAAAAAATAATGACAAGTGTGTGTTTTGACGGCAGAGACTTCTTTACGTGGAGCTTCGAGCTGGAGCTACTGCTGCAAAACGCACAGATATTCCAATACTTCGACGGGAGCTGCCAGCAATACCTGCCTGCGTGCAAGCGCGCAAGGAATCATTGTGCTCAAAGCATGGGGAAGCCGCACGCAGATCACACAAGATGATGTGCTCATAGTCCAGCCTGCGCTTCTATCTTCTCTCCGCCCCCCAACTCATGGATTGTGGCGTCGAACTAAGCACGAACCGTCGCACACGCAACATTCTTCTGCACTACTTGTCGCCGACAAAAACACGCCAGCAGATAGGACGAGCACACTCTGAAAATGGAGTGTACATCCTTGACTTCGACATTCCTGACTGCAGCGGCGACTCGAACGAGTCGTTCTCGTTCCACTGCGTTTTGAGCACATCCACCGTCTCAGACTGGAAACACCCTGACGGAAGGCCGTGGGTGCCACATCATTCGCACCCACGTGAGCTGGCACTGCACGACCTTGACCCAGACGGCATCTACAGGGACTGCCACACGCCCACCGCCTCAACAAGTGCAATCGCCGGCCGCGGCCTCGCCGCCATAGCTGAAGCTGAGCAACATGCACCACCTGAAGAATGGACGGAAAGAGATTTCGACCTGCCAAATCCGGAACCAGGAAAAACACTTCCCGGTACACCAGCGGAGCGGCTCGAGAGCATTCGACAGGGACGCCGTCGCGGAACCTTTGATGACAAAGGGAGAGCGTGTCCCTATTCAAAGGAGCAATTTATGAAGATCTACCCCCACAGGCGCGACCCCACAAAGAAACTTACCGTAGCGAGAGAGGAAGAACTGGCGTGCCGCGAAGCCGAGTAGCTACGCCAGAAGAGCATCGCTGAAGCAGGCAGCACATTCTCATGCGCCGCATGGGGCGCAAAAGAAGAAGACAGCGACTCCAATGAAGGGGGGTGGGGATGTCAAACTATAATTGTTATAGATTGCTAATTTATTCTAGGTGTTACATTGAGTTATGCTGTAGAGGGTATAACCCCCTTAAGTTTTGCTATATGCTCTCTTTGTACTGCTTCATTCTACTCATTCATTTACTAGTTGTTACTTTCACATGGTATAGAGCGATAAGATCCTATGGGCCCACCGCCCCGTACCCTGACCTAGCCCGTAGCGCCTCGTCATTCGTAGCGCCTAGTTACCCGTAGTGCCCCCCCGTCGATCCCGTCAGCCTGCTAGCACCGCCCGTCACTCGTCACGACCTAGAACGGCCCCCGCGGGCCCGCTAGTTCGCGCTAGGAAGGGACCCCTGCGGGTCCCCCCACGTCATGACCTAGAACGGCCCCCGCAGGCCCGTCAGATCGCGCCCCCGTCTCCCCCTGTCCCCTCCCCGTCGCGCCCCCCGTCGCCCTTCGCGTCGCGCCCCCGTTACCCCCCGCCCCCTCCCCGTCGCGCCCCTTCGCCTCCCGTCCCCTTCCCGTCACCTCCCATTCCGTCCCCGTCGCGTCCCCGTACCCTCCCGTCCCCTCCCCGTCGCCTCCCCGTTGCCCTCCGCGTCGCGTCCCCATCGCCCTCTGCATCGCGCCCCCGTCACCTCCCGTCCCCTCCCCGTGGCGTCACCGTCGCCCTCCGCATTGCGTCCTCGTCGCCCTCCGCGTCGCGTCCCCGTCGCTCTCCGCGTCGCGTCCCCGTCGCCCTCGGGTTCGCCTCCCTGTCTCCCCTCGTTTCCATCCCGTCACCTCCCCGCACCCTGTGGCCGCAGCCCCATCTGAAACCAGCCGCTAGAAACACCCCAGCATTGCCAACAGCTGCTAGAACCGTGCTAGCAGTGCCAGCACCCGCTCGAACCGTGCTAGTAGCGCCAGCAACTGCTAGGAACGCCCCAACAGCACTAGCAGCTACTAAAAACGCGCCAGCAGCCCCACGTGTCCCGAACCACCCTGGGCCCGCCGCCCCTCTATACGCGACGCCCAGAACCGCCCAAAACCGCCCAGGACCGCCCATAACCGGCCAGATCCGTCGATCATTGTCCAGAACCGTGCAAAACCGCCCATAAGTGCTCCCCACCGCTCTAGACCTACTATAACCAGCAGCAGCTTGGACTGCCGCCAGAACCAGCAGCAGCATAGGTTGGCCCCAGCGGAACCAGAAGCAGCATTGACTGCCCCCAGCAGCACCAGCAGCAGCATAGGCTGCCCCAAGCAGAACCAGCAGCAGCATAGGCTCTAGCCAGCAACCGCTCCTAGCCACTCCCCACCGTACTCGGCCGTCTCTAGTGCCTACCATGGCGTGTGCTAGAGTTCTGCAGCAGCAGCAAGGTCAGCCGCAGCGACAGCAGCTGCAGCACTCCCGGCAATGGGGACCTGAGGGTCCTAAGAGTACCGGCCGCAGCAGCGGCTCAGCCAGTAGTGGGCGCGATGTTGGTCCCTCCGGGTACCGGATCCTGCCTGGCCCGGGTGCTGGCACCACCTGCTGGAACCTTGACCACTCTACGTCCCGCTGCTATCGTCGCCTTGACGACCTCCACCGTGAGCGTTTTGGTCCTTACGCTATTACACAGCACTGGCCTTCGCGTCTTTGCCAGCGCACTGCTGCACCAGGTGAGTCTCACCTACCTGGTCTAGGACCTTTCCAGGCTTCACAAGCGGAGACCTGTGTTTCCAGTATTGGTGCGTGTGTATTTTCTAGTACAGCTGCCTCTGAGGGTCTTTGTGTAGGAGCTGCAGCTACCACTAGTCTAGTACCAGCCTTTGTCGCTAGCTCGGGTGCGACCTCACAGCCTGCACGTCTTTCCTTCACCCTAGACTCTGGAGCGTCCAGCTGTTTCTTTTGCGACTTTACTGACCTTACGCCACTGCACACTCGAGTCACTTGTCGCCTTGGCTAACCCCTCTGTGGTACCTGTCGTTGCTCACAGCACCACCACTCTCCCGTGTCCGGCGGCTCCTTCTGGATTTCTGACAGGTTACTACACCCCCTCATTCTTCAGGAACCTGGTGGGTGTCAGTCACCTCCACGACCTAGGTGTATTCACTACTTTTCCACTGGACTACTTTCCCACTTCTACACAACCGGTGCCACCAAGGCACTTCTGGCCACTTTCCACAGGGAGCCGGGCTCTGGTCTGTACTCACTACATATTTTGTTCCACCACACGGAGTCAGGTCAGGTCTGGTCAGGTAGCTGCTGTCTCGTGTGATTGTCAGTCCCTCACCCACCCGTCGGTCCTCTGGCACCACCGTCTAGGTCACCCGTCATTTCCACGGCTCAGTAGGATGGTACGTCACTGTCTGGTCTCAGGTCTCCCAAAGTCGCTTGCCCCGCTTCATCGCTCGCCTGCGCCACCGTGCACTCCTTGCGTCGAGGGTCGGCAGTGCGCTGCCCCTCACTAGTCATCGTTCCCCCCCACCACGACTCCCTTCCAGACCCTGCACTTGGACGTTTGGGGCCCCTCCCCAGTCCTTGGCCCACGTCAGGAGCGCTACTTCATGATTGTGGTGGACGATTACTCTCGCTACACCACGGTTTTCCCCTTGCGATGGAAAGCCAACGTGCCTACCGTCCTCGAGCCGTGGCTACTACCGTGGGGTGGCGCCCAGGGCCTGTGTGGGCTCCGCCTACACTAGGACCGTGGTGGTGAGTTTTTCTTCCATTCGCCTAAAGACGTTCTGTCAGGGTCGGGGGATCATCCAGTCTTACACGCTACCAGCCTCGCCGCAGTAGAACGGGGTAGCCGAGCGACGCATCGGCCTGGTCATGGAGGTTGCTTGGACCTCCATGTGCCATGCCGGTGCCCCCCTGTACATGTGGCCTCGGGCAGTCCGCTACGCCGCGCACCAGCTGAACCTGTGGCCTAGTGACGCACGGCCACGGATGACGCCTGTCTATCTATAATCAGGTTCTCCGGGCGTAGCAGCTGACTTCCGCGTCTGGGGTTCTTTGGCTCACGTTCGCGCCCCTGGTGCGAACAAGTTGTCTCCGCGCACTTGTGCCTGCGTCTTTCTTGCCTTCCCTTTGGACGCCGTCGGCTGGGTGTTCTACAACCCACTCACCTAGGAGTTCTGCAGTTCCCAGGATGTCACGTTCAACGAGCCTGCGTGTTACTATTAGAGTCGCAACCACCGAGGTACTGAGGTCTTTCCCCCAGCTATTCCTCACCCTTGAGCCCCCCCAAGTCGCCCCGGTAGCCCCCCCAGCTTCGCGTCCTGCCCCGTCAGGTGTGTCGCACGTCACTCCGCAGTCTTTCTCCCTGCAACGTCTATTCCCTGTCGTGTTCGGGGGTGCTGGAGGGTGAGGGTGCTGGGGCTGCTGGAGCTGGTGGTGTCAGTTGTTGGGATGGAGGGGGTGTGGGCGTGGAGGTAACTCCCATGAATGACAAGGCTGCCTCGACTCGGCGGTCTCGGCCCGCATCACCTCATGGCTTCTCGTCTGTCCCGCAGTTCCCTCCTCGTTCTTCTCTGCAGCCGCTTGCTATGGAGCCTGGGGTTGTTCCCGCAGGAGGTACGGGAGGCACCGGGGGTGTCGGTGGTGGAGGTGCTGGTTCTGGGGGTTCTGGAGCTAGAGGCACTGGCACTGTGGCGCCTACACCGCGCACTGTACGTTTTCTGACCCATGAGCACCGTCTCCTCCGGTTGGAAAGGGAGGAGTGTTAGCGGTTTGAGAGGGCACGGCAGTAGCAGCAGCAACGACAAGAGCAGTCTCAATCGCAGCTGTAGGAGAGCGTAGAGGAGGAGTCACCGCCGGAGCAGGAGAGAGTGGAGGAGGAGTCAAGAGTGTAGCAGCAGGTGCAATTGCAGTCGCAGCAGGAGAGAGTAGAGGAAAATTCACCGCCGCAACAGGAGAGGGTAGAGCACGCGTCCCACCCGCAGTAGCAGGTGCAGATGTAGACACAGCAGGAGAGAGTAGAGGAGGAGTCACGGTCGCAGCAGGAGAGGGTAGCGCAGGAGTCCCGGTCGCAGCAGGAGGTGCAGCTGAAGCCGCAGCAGGAGAGGGCAGAGGAGGAGCCACAGGAGCAGCAGCAGGGGCAGGTGCTATCGCAGAAGACGCCAGGGTAGGCGGAGAAGCAGCAATTCCGGGACTTGCCCGACCTTGCACCTGCACGCTTGGTTCGTGGTCCTCTACCGTCCCCTCCCGTTCCCCTTGTCGGTTCTCTTTCCTCGTCCCCATGGAATAGTCGTTCTCCCCTCATTCGTGCTGAATCTCTAGAGCCTCGTCGGTCCCCTTACCGTGAAGGCGGGCCGTTTCACCTTGTTCTCCGCTCTCGTGTTCCACCTCCTCCTATCCTTCCACAGCCTCCTGAGTCGCCCCTCACTGTGCTTCACGGCCCGTTATCCGACTACCTCCGTGCCTCCCGTCCTGTCGTGCCCCGTGTTTTGTACGCGTTGGTGACTCACCCGACTGCCCCCGTGCTGTCTGTCTTGGCTCTTGTTACCACTGTCGCTGGCTTTGCCTCTTCCCACCGCCTTGAATACGCCGCTCACCTGGTGAGTGGCCCTGCTCGTTCTCCGTCCTTTGGGGGTGCTCTTGTCTTTCCCCTGGAGGTCCTCGAGGACAGGCAATTCGAGCTTGGTTTCCTTGCAGCCGCTGTTCCTCTGCTTGCTCCTGAGGGGAATCCAGACGCCCTTGACATCCCTATCCCTTGCACTCACGCCGAGGCGGACTCGGGACCCTGGGCTCCATACTTGATAGCAGCTAAGGAGGCAGAGATGACATCGTATAGGTCCACAGGCACCTACGTCGATGCCGTCCCACCACCTAGGGCGAACGTCGTCAGTGGCATATGGCCCTATAAGGTGAAACGGCCGCTTGGCTTACCACTGGCGTTCAAGGCGCGCTATGTGGCGAGAGGCTTCGATCACGGCGGGGGGGGTAGACCTCTTCCAGACCTTCGCTCCCTCCACGAATATGACCAGTCTTCAGGTGTTGCTGCTTATCGCAGCTCAGCTCGACTACGAGTTGCACTCTTTGGACTTCTCCACAGCGTTCCTATAGGGGAGCATGCACGAGCAGATCTGGCTGCATCGTCTACCTAGCTTCACTAGCACTTTCCCTCCTGGAACCTAGTGGTAGATGTGTTGACCGCCTACGGCCTGGGCCAGGCTCCCCGCGAGTGGTACGACACATTACGTACGACTCTTGCTGCCGCGAGGATCTGCTCGGCCATATGAGGATCCTCATGGGGTTTCGCTTTCGGTTCTCCAAGGTACAGCCCACCCTCTTGCTGTGGATCATGGGCTGACGGCTCCACCTTCGAACGAGCCATTTGAGTCCAATGGTCCATATCCTAAACTGGCAGGTTGTCTCATGTACTTGATGACCTGTACTCGCCCAGACCTAGCTTACCCTCTAAGCGTCCTTGCGGCACTTTGTTGCGCCCGGGAGACACCGACCTTCCCACTGGTACGCTGCTAAGAGGGTGGCGAAGTATGTGGCGAGTACACCAGGCATGGGACTGTGAAGAAAGAGGAATGAATGACTAGGAAATGAGTTGGGTAGTATGAAACCCTAGGAAATTGTACCCCTTAGTGTCTACCCCACTACAGCCTAAATAGGCTATATGATAAATGTTTGACACACCCCCATAGGCAAAGTGGGGGAGAACAAGGGGTCACAAGACCAGTCAAGCAAAGCAAAGCAAAGCAAGCTCAGGGTGGATCACAACGTCACCACACATTCCGAGCACAGGTTCAAAAGCATAAGGCCAGTTCACATGCAGGATTACATATAAAGGTGAACAAGCAAGTGCAGGTATATATAGATCACAGTATACAGCAACGTCAAGAGGTAAGCAAGTGAGGCTAGGTAGGTACAAGACCTAACATAGTACAGAAGCGCTGATGATCACAAGGCTCCAGTGCCTTGGTGAAGATATCAGCAGTGTTGGCCCGAGAGGCCACGTAAGCAAGGCGCAGCTAACCACGCTGCTGCAGCTCACGAGCAAGGAAGAAGCGAAGAGCGATGTGCTTTGTTCTGTGCTCCAGTCTGTGCTCCTGACACAAGGCCAG